TTGCATTTGAGTTATGCATCCTCCAACAATTTGAGTGTTGTAGTGTCTTTTATTGTGGGTATAATACAAGTAATTTGTTTACTTGTTTGGGTCCAATATTAGTAAGTTTAGAGTTGTATACTCTAAATTTTACTCAACAATTGGCATCAGAGCCACGTTAGAAGGTCTCTTGAAATTTTGAGTATGCTCTGTGGCTGCAGTTTTAATTGATCTTCCACATCATAAAAGAGTTCTTAAGGTTATTGTCGGGGTTATTACAAACCTTGTGGAGCTTTTTTGTTAGAGTAATTTAGTACTCTGAACATTTGTTACTTAAGCTTTTTCGGTGTAGTCAAAGCCTTGTCGTTACGATGGGTGACCTTCAAGTAGTTGGAGAATAAAGAAGCTCAACAAAAAAACTACAACACATGGGCAACATGTATGGAGTCATACTTACAAGGTCAGGACCTTTGGGAGGTTGTCGGTGGTGGTGAAGTTACACAACCGGTTGTAGAAGATGTCAATGGCATCTTGCGAAAGAGAAAAATTAAAGAAGGCAAATCGATATTTTCTTTAAAGATCACAATAGAAGAAGAAATGTTGGAGCACATTCGGGATGCTAAATCACTAAAAGAAGCATGGGACACCTTCGCTACACTCTTTATGAAGAGGAACAATACAAAATTGCAACTTCTCGAGAATAACTTCTATCAATGGCGCAACGCAACATGGTGGTTACCCAATACTTTCACAAGGTGAAGTCGATATGCCGCGAAATTTTAAAATTAGATCCGACAGGTGCTATTGGAGAAGTTAGGATAAAAAAATAATTATCCATGGCTTGAGACCTGAATACCGAAGCTTTCTAGCCGCTGTACAAGGATGGCCGACACAACCATCACTTGTTGAGTTTGAAAATTTGCTGACTGGCCAAGAAGCTATGACCAAACAAATGGGGAGAAGTCTCACTAAAGGGTGAAGAGGAAGCTCTTTACATCAACCAAAGTAGAGGTGGTTCAAGACAACACAACAAATGCGAATATAGAAAGACTAGTGAACAGACAAAAAGTCATCATGGAGGGAATGGCTCTCGTCTTGGGGGAGCTTCGAAGAATCATGACAGTAATAGAAAGTTCGATGGCGAATGTTACGATTGTGGAAAGAAGGGCCATATGAAGAGAGATTGTTGGTTTAAAAAGAAGTCTACCGAAAGCAATATTGATACTTCTAGTTCTAAAGAAGATAGTGAAGATAGCTGGGATGCCGAAGCATTACTCGCTATAGAGGAAGAAGAATTGGCTTTCACGGTAACAACACTAGAAAATATTAACTACGAGAATGATTGGATCGTAGACTCGGGCTGCTCAAATCACATGATGGGTGATAGACAGAAGTTGCAAAACTGTTCTGAGTACAAGAGAAAGGAGTTTCCACACGCAAAGGCAAAGAGTACCATGGTGGGAAACGGGAAAAGAGTCCAGTGGGCTCGAGAGTATCGTCGGTGTCCAAGCATGGAGATGCCATGATGAGTTTGCAAAAATGCTTGGGTGGTGAAAACACCAGGAGGAGCTAGATCTCAAGGTAGAGAGGCTCGATGGTGGAGCCTAAGGCATGTTCGAGTAAGACATTACGTTTACTCATGAAGATGATGAGAGTCTTAATAGGGAACAAGAAGAGGAACTGACAGTCTACGAGAAATGGGCTTATTTGATGGAAGGTTTGGCTTTCCACGCGGAGAGGCTCATCAAGTTGGAGCAGATTTTAATTTCATGGGAAAAGAGGGTCGGGAGAATTGAAAAAGTCAAGGATGAAGCCAAGGAGACCCAGAGTGTTGTGGAGTCTCGCCTTGATAAATTGGAGTCCATGGAGGACAGGTTCAAAGACGAGATGCAACAAGTTCTCAATGAGTTAGAGATGGTTCGAGGGAGTAATGCCCATGAAGCCGAAGTGATGGCTTTGAAAAGTGAGGTGAATGAGCTCAAGAAAGAGTTGCTCATATGCAAGGAGCAATGAGTGAATGGGTGAGATCAAGACCTTCTTTGAAGAACTCACACCAAGGGTAATGTTCGGGGGAGAGCAAGGTGTGTCATCTATTCCCATGCCCAGGGATAGAGGCAATAGTAGGGGAGACTGGGAAAAGGTGCAGCAGGGAGATGGTAAGGAAACTATTCGAATGGCCAAGGTGATCCATCAACTGTTCGTAGCCAAGGAAAGTCATCGGGAAAGAATGACAAGGCTAATCCCGTTGCGAAGAAGAAGACGAGCAAGGAAAAGATGAAGTGCTACTTCTGTGATGGTCCTCACTTGATTAGAGGATATCCCAAGAAGTTTCGCCTTGCAACCATCTTGAAGAAGATGGGATAAGGAGAAGTAAAGGGAATTGGCGCGGTGCAAGTGTTAAAGTTGCCAAGCCAGGGAAAAGACTTGGTCCGATTGAGGGTGTCAATGCGGTCAAATAAGAAACAAGAAGATGTAAGGTTGTTGATGTTGAGGCAGCTGAACCCAGAGGAAAGTTCAATGCGATTACGAGTGTCCAAGCAATCAAGTCAGGAGGACTTGGTGAGGCTACATGTTCCAAAGTAGCATAATCAAGAGGGAAGCATGGTTCGACTACATGTTCTCATGTTGTCAATCCAGGATCGAGACGTGACGAGACTGCAGGTGTCAAAGCAGTCAAGCACAGGAAGGGACCCAATGTGATAGCTAAAGATAAAGCTGTCAACCGAGGGTACAAAGTGAGCAAGTTCACTTACAGTATGCCATGATGGATGTGTGGTCCAAGTTGAGGCGTCTCAGGCATACATGGACACTTAAGGAGTATGTCAACCGATTCAGAAAAACTCATGTTCAAAATCCCGAGTTGACTGAAGAAGATGTGTTCTTCACCTTCATGCTCGGATTGAAGCCATGGGCAAATAAAATGTTGGAGCGACGGGAAGTCAAGGAGTTATCTAAAGCCTTGACAACCGCCGAGTCCATCAGAGAATTTGGAATCAAGAAGAGCAAGACTTCCAAGCAAGGCCGAAAGTCGAGGGTAGTGGAAGAGATTGAGATGAGGGAAGTCAAGACAAATGAGTAAATTGCGAACTTGTTTACAAAAAACTTGAGATTTGGAAAGTTTGAACATTTCCGTCGTCAGCTTGGCGTGATTTAAAGAATGAGGGCTAACATTGAGGGGGAGTGTTGAGAAATTAATATTAGCCCACACTCAACTTAATTTGATGTCATTGCTCACATCAATTTAGTTAGGTGAATATGTCATTGTTTTTCTCAATTTAATGGAGTAGGTAGAATAGGTAGAGTAGTGATAATAATGTATGGTTAGGAATATTTATCAATTTAATATTTGTATGGTGTAAGTTGCATGGTGAGGACTATAAATACCCCCTTGCATTTGAGTTATGCATCCTCCAAAAATTTGAGCGTTGTAGTGTCTTTTATTGTGGGTATAATACAAGTAATTTGTTACTTGTTTGGGTCCAATATAGTAAGTTTTAGAGTTGTATACTCTAAATTTTACTCAACACATTTGTATATAGTTTACCCTAAAGGCGTGGTCAAATATTGAACAGACCAAACAAACTTCAAAGAAAGCGTGAACGATGGAAAATCATTCCATTGTTGAACACACAACAGCAAAACCGTGTTTGGTCGGTTAAGCAGACTTTATGTTGACAAATCATAAAGACAAGTTCCTTGGCGTGTCTCTTTAAATGACAACTTCAACCTCCTAAAGGAATAAACATGGAAATTAATTTTTTGAGTAAAATAGTATTTATTTAGAATTTTTTTAGTTATGGATAATGTATATACATCATGTAGATGTAATTATTATTCGGATTAAATATTTTAAAAAATAGCACTTCTTTTCATTGTTGAAACCGTTTCATAAGTTAATTCTATCATTAAATTTGTTTCAATGCAAATGATCATTATTAATTTATTACTTGTGGTCCTATGTATGGTTTGCATAATTAAGAAGTTTAATGACATAAATAATCATTTCAATAGTATAGTGACCCTTAGTATACTTTATACTATTTTTTTTGTTTTACTGGATAAATTTTTTAAAAGAATAATCTAAAAATTTAGAATTTGATTATTTTTATATAACTCCTAGTTTTATTAAAAAAGAATAAATATTAATAATTATAAAGAATGTGGTTTACAATCATAAATGTAAACTGAACACATAATTAAGATATTTTCTTATCACCATTAATACAAAATATAGTCATTAAGATCACACGAGATCATAGAGGAAAAAGATTAAAAATCTAACAAAAAATTCGAACAAAAGATAAATACGAACATATCTGAATGCATCGATAAATGATCTGCAAAATGAATCAAATTACTAAAAGACCACTGATAAACCACAAATCAAAGTCGAGTGACGTGAAAAAAACATCCACGAACGCAAATAGTGTATCCAAATCCAATCCGATGGTCCAAAACAAGAAAGATCAGCATGACAACAAATAAACATCATCCTGATCAGTCATAACAATTTTAAATCAACCATAAAAAAAAAAAATCATATTCTACAATGATGTATGGAATGGCAAATGGGTCCTAGAGTATGAGGCACGTAGTAAATTCAAAAGTAGGAATGACGGAAAACTGGTCCCATTGCCAAGACATAGAAGCAGGGAAGACCGATGAATGAAATACTTTGAAGTATCCATTCAAGACCGATGAATGAAAGACTTGAAGTTTCCATTTAGTTTGACTTCAACTCCAGCTAAGGATAGACCGATGAGCGCAAACGTTTTTTTGAAATTTTATAAACTGGAGTTGGCATGAAATTGACTTCAGCCAAGCAAACAACTCTCTTTGCCAAGAAAACCATCTCTTCAACATTTTTTTTTTTGCTTCCTTCAAACTATAATCTCAAAATGTGGGTTAAGCTTAAAGGTGTTTCACTTTCTTCAATTCTCTCCTATCTGATTATCAGCATCAGCCTTGTTGGCGTTGCCCCAAGATGCTAGACACTGGTAATTTTACCACAAACAGCACGTATGGAAGAAACCGGGACCTTCTTCTCGATTCACTCCCTCGTAATGCCTCTGCAAACGGTGGATTCATTACCGCCACTATTGGCCAGGGCTCCGACAAAGTTTACGCTCTTGCTATGTGCAAAGGAGACTCTACTCCAGACGAATGTTTTAGCGTTGTCAATGATACAGTCCACGAGCTCATGGACACTGTCCCAACCAGAAAGAGGCCTATTCATGGACAGGGGCCTATTCACGGACAGGGATTTCTCTGTTGTGCACTATGCAGATCACTCATTTTTCGGAACCTTGGAGCTAGAACCCGCTGCGGCAGTCTATAATACGGGAAACATCACATCGAACTTAACAGAATTCGATACGGTTTGGGAGAGTTTGATAAACAGGTGGTGAGGAAGGCTTCCAACGGTTCTTCTAGTCTCAAGTATGCAACTGGTGAAGCGAAGCTTGGAGCATTCCAAAGGATATATTCACTAGTGCAGTGCACTCCGGATTTATCGGAGCAGCATTGTGACTCCTGTCTAACGCAATCCGCAAGTTACTATGAAAGCTGTTGCCATGGGAAGCAAGGAGGTGTTGTTTGGAGGCCTAACTGTTATTTCCGGTGGGATATGTATCCCTTCTATAGACCCAATGCTTCTACTGCGGTGTCTTTGTCTCCTCCACCCTCACCTTCTAGTCCTCCTCCACAGTCAGTGAACTCCGAAATCAGAAAAGGTAAGTACCGGTCTGCAAGATGCATGCTGAACATTAGTCATTATAATGTTGTCTAAAGGTACTTACAATGTTCTTGCTTGTACAGAAGGGGGAGGCATTTCATCCCGAACATTAGTCATTATAGTTGTTCCCAGCGTCACCTTCATCGTAGTGCTTGTCATACTTGGAATTGTTGTTCTTCCCATGAGGATCAAGAAAAAGAAACAGAATGATCAAAGTAAGTTAGCCTTTGATTTTATTTTTGTTTTACTGTTGTAGTCTTATAACAAAAGATAATTCACTAATAATCAATCCTTTGCAATGTTATGTAACTTAAATGATTCTTTGTTAACCTGCAGATAACAAGATGCACGTTGAATCGTTGCAAATCGACTTTCATGCAGTGAGAGCTGCAACAGAAAACTTCTCCGATGCAAACATGCTTGGACGAGGTGGATTCGGTCCTGTTTATAAGGTCATTTAAGACTGCTGTATGAAAATTTCCATCATTTCAAAGAAAAAAGACAGAATGAATATGTGACAGCGAATACTAGGAAAAATAGTTGTTATTTTCCCTCATTGTTCCTTGTTCCGAATTCTACCAGGGTAAGCTTGACGATGGACGAGAGGTAGCTATAAAGAGGCTGTCCGAAAATTCGGGCCAAGAAACACGAGAATTCAAGAACGAAGTCATGCTATTGGCGAAGCTTCAACCAGGAATCTGGTTAAGCTTCTTGGTTTTAGCTCGAACAAAAAGAAAGGGTTCTAATCTATGAGTTTCTGCCCAATTCAAGCCTTGACAACTTTATATTCGGTACCGTTTCAATCCTTCTAAACACCTATTGACATGCATTTTAGTTGTATAATTTTACGACTTTTGCAGATCCAGTAAAACGATTACTACTAAACTGGGACAAGAGGTACAAATTATAGAGGGAACCGCCAAGGGACTGTTATCTCCATCAAGATTCTCAGTACCGAATCATCCATCGTGACTTAAAAGCAGCCAACATATTGTTGGATGAACAGATGATCCTAAGATCTCAGATTTCGGAATGGCTAAATTGTTTGTGGTTGATCAAACTCAAGCCGATACAAGCAAAATCGTCGGGACCTAGTAAGTATCATGAATGATGAGATTTTATATTTGTTTGTGTACATTTATTCATTAAAATGTATGCATATGTAGTGGATACATGGCTCCAGAGTATGCATGGCATGGTCATATTCAGTTAAATCTGATGTTTATGCCTTTGGAGTGTTGGTTTTAGAAATCATTAGTGGGAACAAAATCAACAGCTTGACCAACCAAGTAGGAGACTCTCTGCTTACCCATGTATGATCTCCATACTATGGTTATGGTATATAATGGAATAGATGTTGCTAAAAGACAATGTAAGTTCATAACGTCGAACATTTGCAGGCATGGAGAAATTGGAATGAAGGGACTGCTTTGGAATTTGTTGATCCGACTCTGAGGGATGGATCGAGAAGCGAAATAATGAGATGCATCCATCTTGGGTGCTTTGTGTTCAAGAAAACATTGCTTATAGACCAACCAGGCCTCTGTGGTTCTCATGCTTAGTAGCTATTCCATGTCTCTTCCGGTTCCATCGATACCTACATTTTCTATGAATACCAACTCGGAGACAGCAACGATGTCCGAGTAATTGTCATTATCTAATCAATCTGAAAGAGAAGCCATCCAAGACTCTGTCAATGAGGCTTCTATTTCGGAACTAGATCCTCGATGAAGTTCGAATAAGTACTTGCATTGCACATCTTCTGTACTTTATGTTTCTGTGTGATTTGTTACGAAATTCAGTGATAAATACATGATGATTTGAGCACTGGAACCTCCTTGTTGACTGATTCACACCATTTCTGAAGCTACAGCTTTTATTCGCGTCTTTGTCCAAAAAAGAAATAGAAATTCGGTCGTTATTGATGCTGAATCCTTGTTTCAATAGTGATGGTGATGGGAGCGTGGTTAGGTGCCGTGATCGGTGCAGCAAATTGCGCGTGGTTTTTTGGTGTTGAATTTGGTAAGCTGATATTTTGGTTAATGCTGCGGCCGTCTTTTAGACTTATCTAGGGTAAACTCTAATAACAGTCACTAAACTTTGGATTATTTCCATTTTGGTTATTGAAATTGAAAAACTTTTATTGAGTTATCGCCATTAACAAAAAAATTATTTCGATCATTGGGTTGTTTAACCATTAACGAAATCTGACGTTACACGATAAAATAACCCTAAAGAACTGGACATTGTTTGCTCTTTCCTTCAATTAAACTTATTGAATTACATTATAATCTCTTCAAATCTCAATCGAAATTAGAAATAATATTTTTATCCGTTAATGTTTAATCTGTTGAGTAGTTTGTGGCTATTTTGTGGTATTTGGGAGCTGTTATCGCGTCTAGTTGCTACGTTTATTTGACTTTCCGAAGTAATTAAAATCAATTAATCTAAACATTTAAAAAGTAAATAAAACAATCTTAAATTTATAAACAAAATTTAAAATAATTCCCATTTAATAAAGAAGATCAAGAAAGTCAAAATAAAATTTTAAACATTTTTTGTCCCCATTTAATGCTAATTTACGAAATGGCTTAATTGCTTCTTTTTTCAAAAAAAAGTTTAATTTAATATTGGGTAAAGTACCTAAATAGTTTCAAACTTTTAGGGCGCTTTTATTTTGGTCACCTAACTTTTAAAACTTACAATACATCATCAAACTTTTAGTTCATTATCCGTAATATCCCTGATATTACCTCCCATTAGTTTTATTCGAGGTGACAGTTACTTCCATTAACTCTCTTCTTTTCTCTTTCTCTTTCTTCTTCTTCTTTTCTCTTCCTCCTCGACAGCTAAATAACTAACTATTACCGAAACTAATAAATGTAAAAATCCAAACAAATATACATAAAATAGTGAGCAAAAGAACTGTAGTTCACAAATCCATCGTCTTCTCCATATCGTCCAGACTTGATTCTTTCAACTTTTTCAATGACTACATGATACTCCTATAGCTCCGATGACTTCAACAAAATCTTCTTCTTTCTTTGTCACTGAGTTTGACACCAATTTTAACCCTTCACTCGGTGATATCAATGGCAATCATGTTGGTGTTAATGTTAACTCGGTTGTTTTTTTGGCCTCGGTTGATGTTTTGTTCAAGGGTTTTATCTCAAAAGTGGTAAAAAAAACATCTTGGATTCACTACAACAAATTTGTCAATTTATGACAAAATTACTATATGACGTCACATATATCGTCACAAACATACTATAACGTGACATTTTTTTTGTCATATTTATTGATTAATGGTATATCTTTTATGACAATTTTAAAAATGATCATTAATTTTGTCACTATATGTTTGGCGCCAAAATCTTCCCACCAAATATTTTGGTGGGAAACCTTTTAATGACATTTAGATAAAATAATGACATTGTAAAATCGACTCCAATGAAAAACATCTATTAGTGACGATTTATTATAATGACAATTCAATTTGAATTAGTGGCGTTGCACATTTGTCACTAATAAGTTTTATTCATTACAATTTAATTTGTCATATTTTATAAGACACTAAAAGTGACATTTTGTTATTGTCACAAAAAATAGTTTTAGCACAACGAAATCAATTATTTGTCACTTGTTTTTATCTCTCTTTTTTATATGATGATTTTAAAAGACGTCATGAAATTATGTCACTTAATGTTAAAAAATAAGATAATCTAACAACCTTATTAAATAATGCAATTTATAGAGTTTTTTTTGTGTTTTTTATTTTATTGACATTATTCTATATTAGATTATCTCACATTCAAAGTTTTTTTAGAATAAAACATAAAATAATAAATCATAAAAAAGAAATGACCAAATGATTTTTTATATATTATCATACTTCTATAATTTCCATGATGTTACATCAAAGTGTTTAGGATACAAATAGATATTTATACTCTATCATAGAAATACCCATAAAGTTTTAGTATTTAGATACATATAACATCAATAATTTTAAAATATAAAGTATTACTCTTTTATATAAAAAAAACTAATATTTAGAATGGTATTGTGAGAGAGGTGACTTACTTGATGAAATAGGAATTAGGGATTGCTAAATTTGAAGTTAGCTTGCTTATTCTGTTTGGAGAAGCTTCACGTGAACCCATTATTTTTTTTTAAGTTTAGGAATTGCAACATTTTTAATAATAAAAAATTCTTTAATATTCAATCCAAAAAAATTCTTTAAAATATTAAAAAAATTTATTTAATATATATTAAAAGACATTTTCTTTTAAAAATACATATAATAAATATTTATCTAAATTATTTAAATTATTTTTAATTTATCTAAATTTTCTATATTGGAGGTAATTTTTCATCTTACCTCCAAATAAAATTTACCTTCCCTCTAATAAAATTGAATATTCCTTATTCTTAGCAGAATTTTTCTCATTCATAATGAATCATTATTGCTTTCTTTTCATTGATTTTAATTTTATAAAAGCATCTGTGTTTTTGATTTCCTTTAAAGTTAAGAATACTATCATAACAAGTAGGTGAAATAAGAAAATTCTTTTCTATATTCTATATTGAGATAATTTTGATTTATAGTTTTATTATTTTTATAATTATTTTTTATGACCCATGTCATCTACCGAACAATCCTGGCTGGCCTCTCCGCAACTTCCTTGCACTTATTTCTTCCAGATGGAATCTGAAAACTGTTCGCTTTTTGTGCCATAGAGAGAATCGAGGTTTTGCTGATTTGAATTTGTCACTTGTTGGTGAAGCCTTGATTTCGGTTCAACCAGGTAGAGTGACACAAATTTTGGGTAATAGTTTATTTTTTGGATCAATTTTTAGCTGTTCTAATAATATGAATTCATTCTACACTATCTTTCTTGACCTACAATGTCTCTTTTAGGAGGGAGAGAAAGACAATGTGTGCCCAATGCTGTAGGATGGGAATTCAACAAGGGAGAAAAATACCGAGGTGTATTAACCTTGCTAAATCTATGGATCCAACTAGGTAATTTATTTTCTGTTTATTTTTTGATATTGCCTATGAATCTATGGATGGATATTGTGTTTAGTCTTTGGTATATTACATGGTGAACTTAGCAATGCATTGCTCTTTCCTGCAATTATTACATGTTTTCTGATTAGATTTCCTGCATAACTACTGTTTTACTTCTTTATATTCTTGTTTGGTGATTTCCTTGGGAAAAACCAAACTAGCATTGCAAATCAGAACTATTCGATCTCCTAGCTATTCAGAACATGTTCGCTCTTTCTCGAGTATATATAGTTGTCGCCATGGGCCGACCCCTAAAAGGATGCCACTCTTTGGGTAGCTGGAAAGCGTAAGACTTTTGGCAGGGAAACTGCCTTGCTATTATGCTACAGACCTGTGTTTTGGCCCTTAATCCTTTCACATGATTAGTATGTCATTATAACAGAGATT